GGCTCCAAACAGCTGTGCTGGGCTCTGGGCTCCGGCATCAGCTCCACACCAGTGCATGCAGGCGTGCCTCAGAGTGGGTGGTGAGGGAAGGGCCTGAGGCAGAGCAGCCCCGGTCTCTCCCCTGCTCCTGGCACAGAGGTGATGGCAGGCTTCCAGAGCTGGGCGCAGCTGTTTGTAACCAGCCTGGGCTCTGGGCAGTGTCAGCAAGCAAGCAGGGGGCAGGCTGCAAACAGCTGTGCCGGGCTCCACAGCTCTGGCATCAGCTCAGTGCTGGCGGTGACTGCACAGCACCTCGGGACAGACAGCAGGGCAGTGCAGCCCACCCCAAGATGCCCATGTAGTCGCCGCCAGCACGGAGATGATGCCAGAGCTGTGGAGCCTGGCACAGCTGTTTACAGCCTGCCCGCTGCTTGCTGTAACTATCCAGAGCCTGGGCTGGCTACAAACAGCTGCACTGGGCTCTGGAACCCTGCCATCACCTCTGTGCCAGGAGCAGGGGAGAGACCGGGGCTGCACTGCCTCAGGCCCCTCCCTCACTGCCCGCTCTGACGCGTGGACGTACATGCCAGTGCGGAGCTGATGCCGGAGCCCAGAGCCTGGCACAGCTGTTTGGAGCCTCCTGGCTAAAGCCGGCCCCAGTTCTGGGGAGCTGCTGCCAGCCGGGCTGCTCCCAGCAGGCAGGTGGGATGCTGCAAGCCCTGCTGGCAGCAGCCCAGGGGCTCTGTCATTGGCAGCTGGTAGCTACCCGGAGCTGGGGCTGGCCGTGGCGTGCCAAGCAAAATGGCCTCACATGCCATGCTTGGCACATGTGCCAGGGGGTTGCTGACCCCTGGTCTAGAGGAAAAAGCAATCGGGATTTGTAGTAGAGATGATATATTTTATTATCTCTATTATTATTATTATTATTATTACCTGGATACCAGAAACATGGAAGATATCGAATTTGGGCCGATTTTTAGAAATGAAATCTTCATATTTTCCCAAGCAGGAAGCAACTGTGACCACCTGAAACCAGAGACACTGCTCCTGCTTTTGTTTCAAGGTAACTTGTGTCATCACAGAACCTCACAAATGGTGAGAGACTCTTTACCAGCTATGAACTTACTGCCCAGAGGAGTTTTCCATCTATTGACTCTTCTGTGAAATCCTATGAAATATGAACTTTCATTTCTACCCAGGAGAACTTTTACAATCTTTTCTCCAATGCTTGATGAAGGGTGTTTGTGCCCAAAAGCTTGCAGGTAAAGACATTTTTTGCAAAAATCTTGTTGGTCTAATAAAAGATATCAGCTCTGCTACTAGTCCAGATTAAATTTTGATGCAACAAGTTTATAGACTTAATCTTATTATACTCTGTTTTATTGAATAAAATTCATGCAATATGAAATAATTTTATGCCCCATGTTGGTCAACTGAAAGAATTCATATTTATGGTAATAATCATCATCTCTTCATTTTGAAACTTCTTATGCTGGTCCCCACTCCTGGAGATCAGTCAGAAGTAATATTTTAGGAACACAGACTAAGATAAAATTTCAAAGGATTACTCTTTCAAATTGACAGTCCAGTCTGGCTGAGAAACACACAAATAAAAAGTAATCCACTGCATGTATTCAATGTGTCTTTTATAAAAAGACACACCTGACATGCTGAAAGAGGACTCCATTCCCAGAGATGTACAGTCTGTTTCTGTCCAAAGTACTTTCTATATGGAGCTGTCCAAGTGCTGAATCAGGGTATTTTACTAAGAGATCAAGTGCCATGACATACAAAGGGGGTCTTGCTGTTTTCTGAACTTCTAGTATCTTGTTTACTATGCTTTTCACTGGATCTTCAATATTAGATGTCAAGATAGAATCACCACCTACGTGAAAAGGAAATGCAGACATGCATCAAGACAGAACAAACAAGCAAAATATATTTACTAGCATACCACTCAAACCTTTTTCCCAAATTTCAGTGCACCTCCTCCCCAAATCAGGGTCCTACATAACCTTCTCATATACATATTGGAGAAATATGGGCTGGATAAAACTACTATAAGGTGAACAGACAACTGACTCAATAGCCACAAGCAAAGGGTAATTATTAACAGGTCCATATCAGAATAGCAGGAGGTTTTGAGTGGAATCCCACTAGGGTCTGTCCTGGGCACAGTGCTGTTCAACATGCTTATTAATGATGTGGATGCTGACATAGAAAGCTTGAGCAAGTATGCAGATGACACAAAACTGGGAAGGACTGTGAACATGTTGGAGGATGGGAACACAATTCAGAAGGATCTCAACAGACTGGAAAGCTGGGCTAAAGCTAACAAGATGAAGTTCAATGCTGACAAATGGAAGGTTTTACACCTTGGGAAGAATAGTCAAAAATACAAATACAAAATACATGACAGCTGGCTGGATGGCAGAACTAAGGAGAAGGATCTGAGAGTCTTGGTAGATCACAGACTCAATATGAGGTTGCAGTGTGATGTAGCTGCACAAAAGGCAAATGCAGTTTTGGGATGAATCAATAGAAACATTAGGTGCAAGACATGGAAGGTGATAGTGCCTCACTAAACACTTGTTAGGCCTCACTTACAGTAGTGTGTGTAATTTTGGGCTTCACATTTTAAAAAAGAATGGAAAAGAGGATTCAGAGGGGGAGCAACAAAGATGATAAAGGGCTTGGAAAGTAAATCATAGGAGGCTGAAGGAGCTAGGCATGTTCAGCTTGCAGAAATCTCATGTAAGAGGGGACATGATAGCGGTCTTCAAATACTGAAAGGGCTGCCATAAGGAGAGAGAATGTTTTTTCTCTTTTGTTGCAGAGAGGAGGATATGGAGCAATGGCTTCAAGTTGCAGCAAAGTAGGTTTAGATTGGATATCCAGGAAACTTCACTGTTAGAATAGTGAGGCATTGGAATAGACTGCCTAGGGGAAATTTTGAAGTCTCCATCACTGGAAGTGTTCAAGAAGAGTTTCAACAGCTGCTGTCTGGAGATGATCTAAGCATATGCCTATGTCCTACCATGTGTATTTCCCACACTTTTGGGCTTTGCTGGTTGCTGCATGGGACCACAAGGGAATTCTCCTCACACATGTGCTTCTGCTACATGTCAGGGTTTTTCTTTTTTACTTTAAGCCTTCCTCAGAGGTATTAGGTGTTGGTTGCAGCCAAGGCTGGGGATTTTGACTGGGGTATGCCAATGGTTCTGTTGGGACTTAAAGCCAGAGGGTCTTGCCCCTCTGCTCAATGTCAGACCAACTTCCATATTTAGAGTCAGGAAGGAATTTTACCCCATGGTCAAATTTGTATGGACTGTAGGGACATTTGCCTTCTTCAGTAGCAGGAGGTGTGACCTTCTACCTGGGATCTCTTAAGTGTATATTAACTTTTTACACAAGCAGGATGTTGGCTGTCATGGTCTCCTGGCTTTACCTGTGGCAGGTTAGGGTTTTGTCTTCTGTTGTATCAGGGTTGACTGTGTAGTTCTACTAAAGGGTTAGGGCTAGGGCTAGAAAACCTGTTTCTCTACGATTCTCGTTCTGTGATGATCACACATAACACTCATTCTATGATAATCACACATAACAATTAAAACATACCAATTGTGGCCGTTTTGAGATGTTACCCTTTTGAAAGGGCTCCATGTGTTCATATGTCCATACCCCTCATCCATCTTCTCCTACTTTACAGCCTTACAGACTGTTTTTAGCTCTTTTCATAATCATAGATCCACCTATGGAGACCAGTCTTGAGCAGCAGCTAGGGTTTCAGCTCTTGGGTTAAGCATGAGAGGGAGGGTTTGTGACCTGAAAATTGGGCTCTGCCCCTACTCTGTGGAGCCATAACCCTGGAAAAATCTTTTGTTTCTTTATTCTACCTTCCCAAAAACAAGGTGAGTCTTGTTTGGGGACATGTGGTATATAAGAAAAACAAAAATTTATAATGAAGTTTCCACTTGTCTCGGCATTCATATAAATCATTGAGTGATCCCCTGGGTTCAAAATATTAATTTTTAATACATGTTAAAAGCACTACAGATACTTTGGTATAACTGCAGTGTAAGAACTTAAGACTGGAAAGGATCTCCCCAACCACCAAGTCCTGTCCTTGGGATTTATAGGAACCATTTGTCTAAGAATGTCCACAAGACAATCCAGTTGAGATAATCATGCACCATAACCATACAGCCAATTACCACAATAGTAATTGTAGTAATAGTACGAATAAACCACTACAGTGCACCAAAAGGAGAGAGCCAAGGGTACCACGAGTGCCTACATCACTGCAGCAAAAGGGATTTTTTAAGGTAAAATATGCTCAAGTAATCCTAGAATGTTAGGAAATGGAGTTCATGCCTTGCTACAGAAGAAGGAAAAAAACCTCCAACAAGCCTTATCAATCTGTCCTAAGTGCACGGCTTTACACTTTTTTTGGATTTTAAACTTCATTGCAGAACAACAAGGAAGTTTTTTTGGCCTCCCTGCCTGCCATCTGACACCTCCAGGGAAGGAATTCTACCTGATCAACACATCAAAGAGCTACTCAACACAGCTCACAAAGACACTCATGGACCCAGAGGGACAGACTTCCATCTTCAGCTCCCTCTGTGCAAAAATTAACTTTTTCCCCTACCTATGGGGACTTTTTACCATCTTGTACCATCTACACTTTTCCCAGAGCCTGACGAAGGAACTTCAATCCCGAAAGCTTGCAGAAAAGGACAATTTTCTTGCCATTTTCCAGTTGGCCTAATAAAAAGTATCATTCTGGAACCAAGAGTTCAATTTTTTTGTATAGCTTTACACTTGATACCTTTAAATGTAACATTTTTATTACACCATTCAACAATGTT